GCCCTGCAGTACACGGGACACACCTAGTTATGCTCAGTGGGACTCAGCAATGAGAATCTAAACAATGAATTGCTCGCAACAAGGAACCGGTGGTGGACCGACTGTAGCGAAGTAGATGTTAACAACTGCTTGGGGTGAATTGTAAGAGTTCATTTCGAGGGTCGAGGGACTGATGACAAACACTACTCTAATCTAATATGCAGAGCCTAAAGACGGTGTTTTGGGAAGGATGAAATGGTGGCCAGAATCATTCTGTGAATGCGGGCACTCAGTGCCACCGAGAGATAAAATACTGATCAAACACAGTGCATTATCAGAATTCGAGCGGTAAAGCAACCAGCATAGTCCACCTTTATTTGACACATCCAAACACACCAGAGAGAATCACCAGCAAATCGGGCATGGAACATTCATCTCTTGTAGGAGTACGTTTCAATCATCCTAGCCAGCAAGTACCCCTTCATGATTTATAGCTCCCCCAGTGTCCCGGAGTTAAAGTGATCAGTGAACGGTGACTCGATATTTTGGTATCTAATCAGCATCCAACTAGTGTTCAACCAGTACTCAGCCATCCGAAGTTACTTGAGGAAGTCAGTCATAATTAAACAGCATTTGGTCATTACCAGCTAACTCAGAGATCAACCTCAATCAGATAGTGCTTTTGCTAAAAGAAGCAGAGATCGGATTCAACACTCCAACCCATGAGTACGGTACAATTGTTAACAGTTTCGGAGGCCGTCCTTACCAGTCTCAACAAGGTTGCTTCTAAGGATGCCTTTCAATACCAGTACGTTAGTGCAAACGGCTTTAAGCAAGGGGGTCTGTCAATCTTTGTTGTCCTCACTAGTTTTGCAACAGATACTATTTACGACTTGACGCCCTATGTAAAGAAGGGAAAGGAGACCCATGAGGATTTTGATTCTGTTTGGATCTCAGCAGCAAAGTACCTTGAGGAGAGAGAGAGGGAGTTTGATGAGAATGATACCAAGCTGATCCGTAGCTTTGGACCTAAGCTCTACACAGACTACCCCAGGCCTCCGATTCCTTTTATTCTCACTGACGGTTCTTATTGGGTTGATCTGGTGGATTTGGCTAAGAGATACATCTCACCAGTGCAGATTGACTACGAGGCAGTGACAGAGCCCTCAGGGTTCCAACATCTCAGAAGAGGGATTTTCTCCAGGCCCTATCTTCCTACGCTATGGGAGGAGTTTTGTGCCATGGTTGATTTCCGTGTCATGGAACTTGGCTGGAAGTGCTCAGAGCTTGCAGGCTTCAGGTGGCTCTACATTCAGAGGCCACAATCTCAGAGGGTACACAGGCATGGCTCAAAGCACGAGAGACGCACTGCCAAATGAGAGACTGAGTATGTGACCTAGAGGGATGAGTGAGGACTCTTGACTGGTGCTGGCCATACTCTCTACATGTGTACTTTCTGAGACTATTTTGAGTTCTCATTATTCCCTCATCCGACCTTGTCATTGCTCGAGTCAGTCAGTCTTGCTTCTTTTGCATTGCTTTACTTGATGATTATGCTCCCTGATGATCCTGACACAGTTCTCAGAATTAGTAAATTGGCAAAATTGGTGCATGCATGACATATCAGAATATTATGATTATTATTTGCATGATTCTTTGCTGTTCCGAATCAAAATAAAAGATTCCTAAGACCGGGGACCGGCGAAGACCGTAATTGAAGGGTCTCGCTCGAAGCTGGACGCACACAACAAGAAAGGATTTGCTTTAATTAATTCATTTTATTTATTGCAATCATCATCCAAATCCTACGTGACAGCCTGTTGGCTTTCTGGTCGCCTAAAGAGGCCCGACTAGAAAAAGTGCCACAGCGTGCGCGCGTGCTCTCACACATCACAGCCGCTTTCTTTTTTTTTTTTTTTTTTTTTTTTTTTTTTTTTTTTTTTATCGGTGACTAGCGCACCACACCGCATGGCACGCCACACACTTGTAACGCAGGTATGTTATTATTATTATTATTTATTGTTTGAATAAGGGGAGGAGAAAAGGAGGAAGAGATTGGAGGCGCTGGAAGAAGGGGAATTATCATTGATCTTTGCTGGTGTACATCTTCTTCTTCTTTCGTTCTTCTTCTTCTTCTTTCTTTCTTTTTCTCCTTCTTTTTTCCCTCTCTCCTCTCTCAAGTTCATTGACTTCTTTTTGCAATTGGATGACATGGTGCTTTCCCGTGAATTTGTACTTCGAAATTGGCCAGGATCTGAACAGGGCACCTTATAGCAACTAACGCAGTGCCTCACCAGCCCTTAGTGGGCATTAACAGTCTTCTGCCATCGTATCCAGTTACCGACATAAAGCCTTGTTCTGCCAGCCATCTCAAACGAGAGCCGGTTAACCGACCCCCCATTTTTCACCTCAATTTATAAGAAAACCATAAGGCCATTTCAAGCAAACTCCACGCCAATGTATAGAGTGCACTTCTTACTAACATATTAAAAACAAACAAAAAAAATAAATTAAAAACACATAAAACAGCACCTCAAAAGTGCATTTTCAGGCAATTTCGCCAAAAAAAAAATCATCGGAATTTCAGGATTTTCAGGATGATCAACAACACAAATTCTAATGACCCTAATGACACCTAGAGAGTGAAAAGCACACTGATCCACACAAAAGATGGGGTAACTTTTTTGTGATGGCAAAACTTTTTCGTGTGCTAACGCATGACTGCGCACACGTAACTAGACAATGTGAACAGCACAAGCTGTATTTACAGCACACCTGCCTATCCACATGACAGACAAACAGCTAATTCTTCAGTAATAGGAGTGACACCTTCTAGAGGATTCATCATCTCAGGCCTCGCTTTCCACCTCCACAGCAAAAGGCCCTTCGCTGGTTGTCAACTAAACCAACATATTGCGCATGTTTGTAATAGTGCATAGTGCACATCAACCACAGTGCCTCTCCCGGTCAGATGTAGCAGACCAGCTGTAGACAGCATTGTTGACCAACCAAGGTGCTGTTCCAAATTCCACCCCTAAGCTTGTTACGTAACAAGACGTCGTTTCCTATGTGAAATGTTTTCAACATCTAAATCCACTTCCTCTTGAGGCTTCAACCGCCAGTACACAGCCCCGGACTTGCAGAAAATCCCGAGTGGCCAACTCCAAAATTTCTGCGGCTCAGGGCTACCAGACCACAATGGCTGGCAGCACCAGCCAGAAAGGAAAAAAGTGTGCCGCCGGCAGTTCGGGAAAGATTGGTGCCCAGTGCAGCGCCTTCAGGCCTGCAGAGTATAGGCTGCTCAGGGAATGGATGTGATATAATTCAAGACATTGGCCTCCCTGAGGTCGTGGACAATCACGCAGGATGAATGTGCTAACTTCTCACCGTTCTTAGTGACAAAAAAAAGCAATCTGCTTTGTGTATGATGACGGCAAGGACACAATTCTAAGAGATAAAATGGATTGCTGGCAGACTCGAAAGCCCTCAAAACCATCATACATGTTCGAAAGCTGTGGATAAGAACCCAACAGATTTTCTGTTGAAGACAGAGTATCCACATGTCAGGAGTCTAGACCACCGTCTTCCCCTAAACATAACATATATGCATTCTAAACGAAAGAAGGCATGGGTAAAGTTGTATTCATTTAATCCACATAAGCACTATGTTTGAGTTCACTCCAACAACTTCAGGTGGGCACGGAAGGCCAGTACAGGATGAGTAGGCTCAGGTTTTGGCACCCTTCTGTAGCACACTGCCTGTTGACTTGGTAGAGCAGGGTGCGCTGGAGCACATCGCCATTTTCTTGCAAACAGCAGAACACACGTCGCACACACACACACACACACACACACACACACACACAGACACACACACACACACACACACACACACACACACACACACACACACA